GGGGGAGTCTGCAACGCTCCCCCCTTCCCCTTCCCTCCCCGGGTTCTGTGCGTGGTGGCTGTGTGACAGGCCAGCTGGCTGCTTACCTCCGCTGACAGGCACGGGTACCCAGCCACACAGAACAGCCCGTAACAGGGACACGTCTCCTGCCAACCCCTCCAGATCCTTTGATATTTCCGACAGCGCAGCGAAGGGCTCTGACGCTCACATTTTACCTTGCGTGGCTCAGCTCCTCTAAGGCTGCCCGGCTGCGTTTCCATAGCTACACCCAATCGCAGCTGCCTTCCTGTGAAATTGGATTTCAAAGCAAGACAAGCCTTCAAAGGAATTTGTCCATTTAACAGAATATCATTAGGAGAGAGCCTGTCTGCTGAACTTGGGACCTAAAATGATTAAGGTGGGGCTTTTATCATGTAGGGAGGCAGCTTTACATCTAGAGCCCCTAAAGCTTGATGCTACATAACCATGATGCAGAGGAAGTTGCCAGTCACTGACAGACTCCCCCCGTCTCCTTCCCAGCTGACCACTGCACTAAATTTGTAACCTGTTCACACATTCAAAAATGAAAGTGGCGAGGAAAATGGCAAGAAAAAAAAAAAGGTCATTTGCCTGGGATTTGCAAAGTAAGGTCCGGATCCTGTATGTTTAACCCATGGGAAACCTTAAACTGGTCTTTAGAATCATTGATGAGCTTTGGATAACGAGTCTGCCTGGCTCCATCTGCAGCTGTGCAAGGTGGAGTGGAAGGTTTGGCTCAGTGCTAGGACTTTGGGTAACAGCACCTAGGCCTCCATGGCAGCTGAGGCTCTAGGCCTCGGTATTCCTCAGTAAAATGGATTTAATAATAACAACAGCTGCTGCACGGTCAACCTGGTCTTAACAAAATCTTCCTGTAGGGGCTGAGGGGAACATTCGAGGTGCTGGGTCCTGTCTTCGGCTGCCAGGCCCATGGGATGGACGTGTGGGCCAAGAGCAGGCAGGGTGCAACTGTGCAGCCTCCACGTGTGGTGCTTTTTTCAGCACTCTATGATAACCTTAAGATGTGTAGCAAAAGACCAGAAATTGCAACAACAACACATCTCAGAGGTTGACCAGAAAAGATTTAGAGCTTTACTGACACTGTGAACACTGCAAGGGCAGGAAATCTGTTGGGTGTAATCCCTATATACTCTTAAGGAGTGATCACATCCAAGGCAGCAAAGCAAAACCACACAAAACACCTGCAAAACAAGCCACTGCTAGTTTGACATAAGGAAAAAATTCTTCCAGACTCTAAATATGTTAAATTGGTATAATTCTTGGGCAAGACTGACCAGGTATCTTCTATTTTATTCTGTCCAACACTATGATTTCAGAGTATTATGTGAGCTACAGAAATGCAGAGAACGTGTGAGATGACCCTTCTCTTTGCAGTTGCATGAGCATTTCTTCCTCTGAGATTTGCATTGATCAGGTTTTATTGATCTTCCTGGCATATCTGAAGGCAGTTTCTTCCATGTATGGGACCTAGTTCATTCTTTTATAAACTCATTTTTAAAGTTAGTCAGTCTCAGCAAGCAGCTGCTTTTTATTTGTAGTCTGTAATGAACTGGCTAGGATTTCTACACAGAAGTGTTTAAATATTTATCCCTAAACACCTCTAGGTGAGAACACGTACACAGATCCATCTACCGTACACATCCACCTACACACACTGCCATTCCTTGCATACAATCAGAGCCACTCAAACGTGCCAGGAGCCGTAGGCAGCAAACTGAGATTCAAGTTCTGCTCCCATAGGAGACTCTCAATTTTCTAAATCCTGACTCACAAAACCCCTACCTGACAAGGTATATATACGCTGTGTATACGCTTTCTAGCAAGGCAATCTCCTGTGTGAGGCCCTCGGAACTGCAGCGACATTTCCTGTGCTTTAAGACCTCTGCATCCGCTGCAGAGCAAGGTCTTGTACACGTTGTCCTAAAATCACTGCTGCGGCGGTGTCAGCGTGGGTGGCACAAGGTAAAGGGGGAAGGACAGAAACGGAGTGAACTTAGAGTAGGAAACCTGTAAGGTCTGGATTGGGAATGTCAGATGTGGAGTCTGTCTCCAGGTTGTTCTGAAATTACATGTGCGTGCAGAGCACAGCCAAGTGACAAATCAGAAGTGGTGGTGTGTTTCTTTTCCCAGATCCAGAGAGCAATCGAGCCTCCCTAAGCAGGAGAGAAAACACACTGTCTTCTCTTCTTTGCAACTAAACCCCTCATGGCAGCTGCCACTTCAGCGGTACCACGCGGAGAGACTACACAGAAAACACTGAACGTTACTTCTCTGGTAAATCAGCTGCGTGCACTAACCGTGGTCATGGTCACAGTATTGTCACTTCTCCTTTAAAACCATCCCTTCTTGACAAGTGTTAGTGAAATGTGAGTTACTGAGGTGGTGTCCCCGTGCATAAAAGTGCATGTTTCAACCAAAAAGTTCCAAAAGAACTTTGTAGCTGCTTTCAGGGTGGGGTTCCCCTTTCACTCCACTGCCTGTGGTAGAGACAATGCACTAGAAGTGCAGGCACAACCCAAACCCAAAAACCACAAAGCACCGAGGTTCACCTTTTACCTATTCTTTACCTGTTTTGTACCAATCAACTAAAAGCACATGTTACTTGCTATAATAATAAATAGTTGTTTGATACCAGGATAGTGCAAAGTAAGGACTGCATCCTGTACACTCAGCCTATGGGAAATCTTTAACTGGTCTTTGGAATCATTGATGAGCTTCTGATAAAGACAACTCTCATCGGATTTGTCAAGCCTAAAATTTGGGACTGCAAGAATGAAAAATAATAGCGGTGTCCCCATAGTCGGCCTGTGCTAATTCGTTTACAGAGGAGAGGAGCAGATGCAGGGCTGTGGGTTAATCTAATGCGATGCCATTTTTGTTTTGTAGAGCACAGTTTGCATTTATTGCCTGTCATAAAGCAAGTTAAAGTGCGCAACCCTGTTATTTCTCTGGGCAAGACGTAGAAATATGAACAGCTATTACAATCTACCCCCCCTTCCTATGCAGGATGCAGGAAGAGGGGAAGTTTTATTGCAGAACAGCCAAGCACCATTCTCTTCCCCTGTGCATTAGAGGCAGGAGCCTGCCTTTGCCTGGAACAGCTCCAATCCCCAACTCCTGTAGTGCTGGGAACCGGCACAGGAGGTTCAATCAATGGCTCGTGGCTCTGCTCTGCCAGCAGGTGCTCTGAATTGTGTGATAATGAAGGAGATGCACGCCTTAACTGCCACCAGATTAAAATGCTAATGCAGGAGCACAGGTTCAGCTGTGCTGTTGCTGGGGGTCAGGCACTTCTGCAGCTTCTTGGCTGGAGCTCTGGTTCTCTGGAGCTTGGAGGTGCTCGGTGGCCAGGGGAGCTGGGCGCCCTGCGAGGAGGTAGGTTGAGTTGTCCGGGGCTGAATGAGGAGGAGGCGGCAGCATCTCAGCGGAGCCCAGCGGTTCCTCCTACATTTTTTTGGGTGTCCCCGCCCTCCCTGCTTCCTTTCTCTCTCTGTCCCTGCCTCTGAGGGACAGGAGCGGTAGCAGCAGGTTTGGCTCCTGTGGAAAGGAGGTGGCGGGTATGGTGATCCCAGAGGAGATTCAGAGACTCCTGGAAGGTAACCACAAGTTCCTCCTTCCTCCCCTTGCGCTTAAAGGGGAACAATCTGCTGTGGTTGCAGAGGAAGAAGCTGAAAAGCTTTTTACACCTCACTGTGCTGAGGCAGAGAGGGGAGTGGAAGGACATCATGGGAACTGCTTTTTTTCTAAGGCTGGTGGTTTTGGGGTCCGCAGGTTATGTGTGTCTTCCTTGTCTCTAACCCCAGTGAGAGTGTGGCTGCCTGCCCTGGTGTTTTTGGGGCTGCCCTGGTGTTGCTCAGATCTGGCAGGTGGGTCTGTGCCTGTGTTAGGGGTGGGGGAAGCTCTCTGGTGGCCCTAGAGACTGTGTAATGGGAAGAGAGTGTAGGAAAGATTGAGGGGTGTCTTCTGGCATGGTCAAAAGGTGTCCCCACTGAGTGCTTTTGGTTGAGAAATTGAGCTTAGCATCACTAGGGTGAGACAAGGAAGTGGATACAAAGGGTAGAAGAAGCTGTTGTGCTGCAGTGAACCATCTCAATAGGCTTTTGTTGTGGCTGTGGTGGTGTCTCCTGTCTTGATGTTGTGCAAGTGTATGTCACGCTGGGGCTGCGATGAGCAAGCTCGCTCGGTGGGGGTGCGTCCTCAGGAAAGCTTCAACCCCACTGAAAATGGGGGTATGGCCAGGAGCAGTGCTGGCTTCTCGCCCCACTTCGGCTTGATCATTTGAATGTGGCCTCCTGAGGTCTCAGTTTCTGAGTGAACGAGCTGCGTTGGGAGCTGACAGCACTTCTGTGTGGCGGGTGAGAGGCTTCTGAAGTTGTTTTTCATGGATTTCCTCACAAACTGGAACTGTAATGCCTCTAGTCATTGAAGAGGTGGGTCAGCCAAGCAGAAACCGTGCTGAACTCCTCTATTGAGAGGTGCTTCACAGACAGCAACACGTTCTGTCTGGCCCTTTGCAAGAGCTGCTGCGGCGGGAGCAGTGCTGTGTGGAGGTGACCACACTACAACCTGTCCCTAAATAAAACTCCAGCAGCAGTGCTGTGGGTTGGGACAGGGTATCAGCCCGGTGCTGAACAACACGTGTCTTACCGACACATCCTGCCCTCGCAGATGTGGGTGGAAGGGGGGAAGGAGTCGTTAGCATCTCCTGTTTGGGGCTGGCCCCACTGCTGCAAGGCTCGGTGACCTTTCATTTCCTGCTGTGATGGCTCCCAGCAGCACCGAGCGCTCGCTGCGTCCCCTCCGAGATGGGGGATAACTTCCAGTCCTGGCATCCACCCGTCTGAGAGACAGAGGGTGCAGCCTCCAAGCCCATCAAAGCTCACTTCCAAATGCTTTGTGTCTTCCCCCAGATGTAGGTGTAAATTTTCTCCTCTGTTTTTTAATCATGGGGGCTTCACTGAAGTTCACCCTTTCACATTTTTGATGTGCAGCACTTTATTGTTCAGTGCTGACACTTTTGTAAACAACTCATTTCTGCACCTGCCACCTTCCTTTAACTTAGATTATTTTCTTGTTAGCTGACTGTTTTTAATTGAAGGCTTCAGATCTCCTTCTAAAGCACAGCCTTTGTTTGCTGACAAGTATAGCAGGCTATGAATGGAGATTAATTGCATGTCACATACCTCTGTATCAAACTTGCTGTGTCTTAACAATCTATATGGTCTCGAGGCCTTCCAGTGGCTGAGGAGGTTTGTAGCTACGCAGGCTGGAAATGAAGGAGCTTAAAGCTATTAGAGTGTTTGCAAACTGTATTACCGTAGGAATTCTTGTATTCAAAATAAAAATAGCAGATAGAGGGGGAAATGTACTGGTGTGCAGACAATAACACCTGCCTCCTTCTATTAAAGCCTGGTCCATAGTGCAATGCTGTTTGTGATGCCCGGAGTCGATGGTTTGTGAGTAACGGCTGTGTTGTTATCGCCTGAGACATCTCTGAGGTTGCAGTGGTTGAAAGCCAACACAATATGGCCATTCTCTCTACGCTGCCATCCTGCAACACTTCTGAATCCTTGTTATTTCCTTTTTATTAGTAAATATGGCTGCAGCAATTATGTTGCTTTGAGTTCCACCTTGCAAATAAGCAATCCAAGTTTTGTTGACTCTACAGTGTCAGTTAATGGTGTGGTTTCACTTTCTGACTCCGTCAGGTCCCTTTTAAAGCTACTTTTGCTTAAGGGTATTTCATGTTTGTTTAGCACAAATTTCTTGTGACGGCTGAAACAGCGGTTCTGAAAAATGCGATGTATCTCTGACAAACCTGGGGCTTCTGCTTTGGTTTGGAGAAGCAAAGGCAGCCTGGCAGTCTGATTATCATCCCTTCACCTGCCTCGCTCCATCCTCTTCATTTCAGACGGTGGGGCTGGAAAACCAGTTTCTTGCTGGAGTTTGGGCAGCAGGAGGGAGGGATGGAGCAGGTGCTGCAGTGGGAGGCTGTGACTGCACCTGCACAGCCTAACAAAGCCGTTAGCTGCTAATTGGGAGGAAAGCAGCCTCAGTGCTGTTTTAAAAATAAACAATACAATGCTCTGTTTTGTAGAGGGCTAATAAGCCACAGTCAGCATTGATGGAGCATCAAGAGTAGCTCTGAAATTTAAATGTCAGGGAATTCTGGGTTGAGGCTTGGAGGCTGAAAATTTGGGAAGCTGTTCTCAGTTCCCCCAATTGTCCATTGTGCAGGGGAGCATGTCCCCTTTGGTCCGTTGCGGGAGGATGGATGGGGATTGCATTGGTTCTCAAGGTTTTCTCTGACTCAGCCCCACAAAAGCAGGAAGGCTCATCTGAAAAATGTTCACAATTAAACCATCCTTTTTTGAGCCTGCAGAAAAGTCAAGAAATACTGTGTGTGATGGTTCACGGCTTTTATTTTGACAAGTGGGACAGGGGATGATACAACCAGCCTTCCAAACCCCTGGCTGTCTTGGGACACATCCTGGAAATACTCATGCAGTCTCAGGGAAGCTCAAGGTACCTGCACTCTGATAGGTGTCCTAAACTCTTTTTAAAACTAATTTTTCCCAGCCAGCTGGAGTGATAAACTGCAGGAAGGATTGTGTGAAACATCAAATAAGTGTTGGAGCAGAGTGGTTGGCTCAGTGTTATCTTGCAAGCCAAAAAGTCGTGATTCTGTGGGGCTGCTCCCCTGTGCATGGAGGGCAGGATCTCTGCTGGCAGCCTCCTGATGGCAGAGGAGTAGAAGAGAGGAAAAAAAACCAAAACCCCAAGTAAATGTGTATATGTGCATGGAGAGAATACATGTGGCATCTTAATACCTTTCAGCTCTGCTCATTGAGTGCTGATTAACTCCTGGAATTTAGTGCTGCCATTAAAAGGTTATTTACTACCTGGACTTCAGTGGTTGTGACATAATTCTCATGATGCTGTGCATCTCCTGCAGGATTAAAGTGGATAACTGCAATTGCCTCTAGAAACTCCCCTGAAACACTTGATGAAATCTCAACTATTTTTTTTCCTCCTCTTACCTTTTTAGCTGCAGGAAATGAAAAGGAGAGTCCTGTAAACTTTCAGAGTGGATCGCAGAGAGCAATCTATAAACATCAAGAATATAATGTTACTGACAAGCAGTAAAACTAACATTAGGGTGATTTACTCTAGAGCTGCTTACATATTGCTCTTCCTGATCCACTTTGAGAGTTTATGGTTAGGCTTTCTTTTTCATTTCCTGGCGCTATAAACATAGTGGCTGGCTCTGAAAGGGGCTCTGCCTGCTTTGCAGAAGTGACCCTCATTCTACTATAACTTATCCAGCAGCTGATCTGTGCTGACATCCCAGTAAGTAAATACCGTATTAGAGCTAATCGCATACTCATGGAGCTAATCTGCGCTTAAAAATGACAGAGGGATCCAGTTGATATTTGCACAAGTTCTGGGAGCAGATTGTTTTTCTTGCTGCTTTTTTTCACTGTGGAAATACAGCCTGTACGTGGCGTCTCTCGCTGACCCGTTTCTACTGTGCTGGTTTTATGCTGGTTTGTATATAATAAATTGTCCCCTTAGCCTCATCTGTTCTTAAGCAGTAAGCTCCTCGGAGCAAGATATATCCTCTGTGCTTAGATATATGTACTTGGGTACTTTCTGTGTAATTTGTAAGTGGTGTAAGCCTCAGCACTGTTAGGCTTGTTGTAAGTTGGTACCGTATCTTAGATATACAATTAAAACTGTACTCAAAATGAAACTGGGTTTAAGGATTACAGGGTTGGCCTGGGATTTAAAAAGCTCCCCTTGGCTGCTCTGGCACAGTCTTTGTGTTATCCTGGGCAGGCCACCTAAGGCTAAATTACTAGTGGTGAATTGATACTAATAGGCGTTTTGGCCTGACACCTCTGCTCCTGGAGCTCCCAAAACTGCCGCTGGGTATAGGTGTGGGTTTGAGAGCAATGCTGTGAATTAGCATTACTGTCCATCTCCTGGGATGCAGCAACTGAGCATCCCCACATCAGAGGGGCCGTGCAAGGACCTTTCTCTGTCTCAGAGCTGAGTTCAGGTTTTAGCTCCGTGTCTCAGCTGTGAAGTGGTGGCTGCAGGTGTGAGGCAAAGCTGGTTCTTATGGGTCAGGGCCCTCCTGGCAGGAGGAAAGGCAGGGAGACAAAGGAGCTAGTGAGGACATGGAGGAATCTACGTTTGCCTAAAACGTGCTTATTAGCATGTGTGTTTATCAAAACTGGTGCTTTCAGCTGAATAAATCCAGAAAGGAGAACTGGACTGTTAGGGAGATGAGTGGATCTGAATTCATTCCTCCTTCCCAGGCTGCTGTGGGTAGAGTTGGGTCTCCCTGGTCCCTCTCTGAAGAGGAGGTAGGAAGAAGGCCTTGTTCCTGGGGGCTGCCCAGGCATCAGCCTTGCTCCCCTCCATGTCCTTCCTTAAACTCTTCACTTTAAAGAGCTACTTTTCTTTTTCCTTCCCTGCCCTTCCGCCAAGCTCTAAGCCTTTCTTGCGTGTCATGAGCAGGCAACCAAAAGAAATGAGGGCTCATGATTTTAATGGAAAAAGGTATTAATTTCTCTTGTGGCATTTTGATCTTGAGATGTGCTTGCAGGCGGAGGAGCTGTTGGTAAGGAGCTGGGCAGGTTCCTGGGGTGTGCTGAACAGGGCTGGCTGCTGTACTGGCAGCTGAAGCATAAGGAGCTGAAAGTCCTGCGAGCAGGATATTAAACTGACATTAGTGTCACAGTATGGGGTGGGAGCTAAAGGTTGGAGAAGCCTGTGGATGTACAACACCACAGCTTTGGAACCAATCTTTTCTCTGCTAGGGGAAACTAGCAGTAATACTGAAGTACAAAGGTTATATTCTCCTATACAGCGCAGGTGTGATTGGAACTGTTGTGTTTTCTGTGGGATTTTTGTTTAGGTTTCTGTAGAGAACATAAATATTTATGCAAATAGAAGTCACTTAATCCTTTTATCTTCCAGTTCAGGTTAGACTTCTGCATGTAGATGTGGTTTCCAGGTGAGAGAATGCCGTATTTACTTTTGTTTAGCTGTCTCTGTTGAGCAAGCACAGGGTGTAGTAGTTCAGGGATAACCTCGTGAGAGAACCCATGTGGTGATACAAGTGCACGTGGGCTGGTGCACAACCAACCTGCTGCTCAGTGCTTGTCCTCTGTGGAGATCATCCTTGTGAAAAAACACGGGTTAGGGTTTCCTTGAAGAACTGGTGTTCTCAAAGTGCTTTGGATCCTCCTCTGAATGGGATAACCACTTCTTCTGCATCCTCGCTTAATGCCAAAAGCCTTTCACAGCAGCAGATTTTTAGCCAAGATCATCCTTGTGAAAAACACAGGTTAGGGTTTCCAAAAGCCTTTCACAGCAGCAGATTTTTAGGGTTTAGGGCAGCAAAGAGGCAGGTGGAGTTGCACTTCAGTCCAATAGTCCAATCAATGTTTCATCTTCCTCTTTCTTTTTTCTGCTGGGTGGATTCTTTGCAGTTGCTTATTTGCCTTGTACCATTGCAACTAGAGAGCAGCTCTGTAATCGTGGGTGGAGTTGCACTTCAGTCCAATAGACTTATCAACGTTTCACCTTCCTCTTTCTTTTTTCTGCTGGGTGGTTTCTTTGCAGTTGCTTATTTGCCTTGTAGCATTGCAACTAGAGAGCAGCTCTGTAATCGTATGCAATATTTAGATCTATCTGCAATCAGTTCAATGTCTTAACTTCTCCAAATGAAGTTCCCAGACAGATTCGTGTCTCTAGATGACACTGCTCGGTGCGGTGCTTCCAGGGCTTCCCAGTGTACAGCTGGGTTTGGGTTTCTTGGCCAAGAACAGGTTAGTTTTTAACCTGTAATTCTCTTCTTTTCCCCAGATGTTGAATTCTACCTGGCGGATGTGCTGCAGAATGAAAACTTGAGTCCTAAAGCAAGGGAGCAGAGGGATGCAATTCTTTTTGGATTCCAGCAAGTCAAAGCCAGGTTAGTGTTGCCTGTGTTAATTTCTAATGAAAGTGCCCCAGAAGTGTCATGCTGTGGGGTACCACACACTCTATTCAACTAGTTAGACCATGCTTTGAAAGTGAGTGGACATTCAGGGCTTAGTATCTTGTGGGAGTGCACCACACACTGGTTTATGCACTCAAGTTATATAGTTGTCTGCAAAGTTGCCATTGTCTGCGTTTGGGATTTGGTTTGTGTTTCCGGATTAAAAAAAAATAATGCCCTGGACTATGTCTGTACAGCTCTTTACACATGTGTTTGGGATTTGGTTTGTGTTTCCAGATTAAAAAAAAATAAATGCCTTGGACTATGTCTGTACAGCTCTTTACACATGGGTCTCTGATCCTGTCTTGTTCTTTCTTCTCCCTTGTGCTAGAGAGAGTTTTGTGGAAAAATCCATTGCTCTGATACTTGGGCATGTAGGTAAATCAAACCAGTGAGCAAAGATTCATGCTGCCAAAAGCATCTATTCCACAAGTGGCTTCTAAACTCAAATGTGCATTACCTGGGCTTTGATACAGTAAAAAGCAGTGAAGAGGAGGACTTCTTGAGTTAAGACTCAGGTCCGAACTGGATTCTAAAGTCTTATGTCCTCAGGACTGTTCAAGTCCTGCTTGAGAACATGAGCTGTGTCACTTGGATAAGTGAGTCGAGCAGACAAATGTTCTATTGTAGTAGGGGAAAAATCAAGGAATATAAACAGAAAATGAGTTGCTGGAGGCCTAAATAAAACTTTCAGCCTCTGCTGCATTATATTTTTGGCTAGAAATGTGATCCAGAGCTTGCTGTTAATGCTCTAGTTATAAGATATGAGTTGTGTCACCTAAAGTTAAGACCTGACAATAAAACTCGGGGTGGCTGACTGATCTAAGCATCCAGTTTAAATAAAACTCTGCTTCTCGGGGACTCGACAGCAGAATTTTATCCTTTGGAAGGGCACAGCCAGACTCTATTCCCTGCAGTCCCACTGAAGAACTTTGCAAGATGTCCTGCTGTATCTTAATCGATCTTTCCTGCTGGCTAATTAAGCATCAGTTTTACTCAGCAACACGGGACTGTGTAATTATCAGCCTGGGTTGCCCTGAATAATTGAAACAAGCTGAATGCAGAAGATGGAAGCCTTTGGAAAATGGGGCTGTAGCATATCTAATGGAAGAACAGTGTGTGTGTGTGTAGCAGTGTCCTGTAATATTGCAGAAGAAAGGGCTTGATTCCATGTTTGTAACAGACTGGTGTGGTTTCTCTGAAAAATGCCCACGCATTGGTGGGTATTGATCTTGAGTGGAAAGGGTTAAGTAAGCAGAATACTGAACCTGAAGTATTCAGGCATCAAGTTAAGCTTTTTTTTTCCCGACTGTCCCAGTAGCATGCAACTTTAAAAGTGATAATTCTTTATCTTCACATAAAGCAACTCTAGGTCTGTTTTTAATGAGTTAAAAATAGCATGGAACTTGATAAACGTGAGGCGCTTGGCAAACTTGGAAATACTGGATTGTTGTGGCTTCCTGAAGTAAGGAGTCTGTCCTCATGTGCTGTTAGAGTTGCAGAGGGCACTTGAGCAGTGGAGAAAGATGCTGCTCTGACCATTGTCCCATGGACCTCAGGCTTCCCAGAGGTTGTGTGTAGTTCTGGTGACTCAAGAAGGAGCAGCCTTTCAGGTCCTGGAGGAAACAGTGATGCTGTGATGCAGAATTCAGCCTTGGCTCTTAGCTCTTTCTCAGCCAAAGAATACAATTTGGGATAAAGCTTTTAGAACAAAGTCATCTCAAAAAGGCAGGCGATTTGGTGACACAGGCTTTGCATCAGGAGGAGGGGTGATGTGCAAATTCCTCCTGGATGCTCAGGTTTAGCTGTGGGCCTCAGCCCTGCTGCTTATTGAAATAAATTGCAGGTACTTCTGGAGGGGAAAGCAAGACCCTTGAGCAAAGACTGCAGGGCACTGCTGATTTCCTGCTGGTGTTTTATTGCTCGGTGGCATTTGAAAGGGTGAGAAGAACAGAGTATACAGATGTCCTTGTTCTGACCTGAGCCATTAACGCAATGATTTGTGGTGGGAGATTACTGTAAGGATGACTGTGCCTTTTTATTTGAAAGGATCTAAGCAGGTCTCGCTCTTGGGGATGAGGCACGGGTTTGTCTCTTTGGGGAGCTTCCTGTGGCTGCTGCGGTGGGCGTTCAGGAAATCATCAGCCCTCGTCTTCAGGAAGCGCCTGCCTCCCCCAAGCAGCCCCGCTCCCCACCTCCCACCTCCACGGGGCCAAACACAACACGGCGTGTAGGGTTTCGTTATTTGGGTTCATAATGGACATAAGTAAACTGCTCAACTGCTGGGGAGAGACACACGTGTCTCTGAAAGGCAGGAGCTTCATCTCGTATGATTATCCTGAGCCAGACTCAATAACTGTTCCTGTAACTTGCCCGTCAGGTCTTTATATCGCGGCTCTCCCCGCGGCCCCATAACGTTCCCCCACCAGGAGGTTCGCTGATGACTATAATGTGAACAAGTGGTTGGGCTTTATGTCTCCATGTGCTACCTGTGAGGATATATGGTTCCCGTCTCGCCGCAAGGAGTGCGGTAGGTAGGGAGGGGATTGTGTTTGCAGGTTATAATTTTTTTTCCAAGGCAGTCCTGGGGTGTTTTTGCTGGAGGAGCCGTGTCAGAGGCGTTGCAGGCGGTGGCCGTGGGGAGGCTGTCACCATAGGGCTGAGTTATGAGTCCCTGTACCGTTCTACTTTCAGAATTCATTTAGTTATTTAAAGTGCACTGTTGTGTTGAAACACTTCTCTCTTCTTTCTTTTTTTTTTCCTTTCCCTACTACCTCAGATCCTATTCCACTTTCTAATATTTCATATGTAGGTCCTGGCCTGGCAATTTTTTCCCGAATCATCTCTTTGGGTTTGTTGGCAATATTTTTTTGTTTGCTTGCCCTGATCGCTTTTTATGTCAGCCAGGAAAGAACACAACCAGAGGGTTGGTCCCCAGGAAGCATCTGTGTGAGGATCTTACAGCCCATTACCAGTTACCTGCATCCTGACTGTAGGCTGAGGACTCTGCTCTGCTCCTGAACAGAAAAATAAAGTGTTTTTAATGGATAAAACCAGCTTAAATATCAGCTTTGCTTTGGGGGAGGATAGGCAGAGGATGTGGTGCTGGGGCAGAGTTTTGCTTGTCTTCCAGAAGCCCCAAAGGTTGTCAGTTGCTTCTGTTTTAGGTCCGTTGGTGCCGAGGTTTTTGTTTCAAGTTGTTCCTTGGGAACGTGGCTGCTGTTTCTTGTGTTCCTCGCGGAGCCGGCTGCACAGCGAGCAGCAGATGTCCGACACCTGGGATGAATCGGATACATGACTCCGCTCAGGAACACAAGCCCATTCTTGTCCTTTGGCAAGAGCAGTAACCAAAAAAAAAAAAGTCTTCTTGCTGTTAAATGACCTCACCTCAGCATTTCGACATTTCTAGAGCAGTTACAATGGCAGGGGGTGAGGTGGGGACAATGGGATTTATTTAAAAATATGGAGATAAATAGTTCCTCCACCTCCTTGGAGTTAGCCAGTCATTTAAACTCCCTGTTGGAAGGCAAGTTTGCACTGATGGAAACAAATTCTTAGTATTTTTTTCCTTTTCCCTGAGGCGAAATGTAATAGCACTAAAAGGAGAGCGAGGCAGACCTGTTGTATATCAAAGCAGAAATGAAGAGAAAGGGGCTTAATTAATGTTGAGTTTCTTGCGTACACCCACTAGGAAATCCAAAATAGACACTGAAACTCTACCTTTAATTTTCTCCGCTGTGACTAAAACACCAGTGTGAACCTGAGGCCCAATCCTGCTGCTCAGAACTAACACACAGCACCATTTTCTGACATTCCTACCAGCAGCAGGAGCTCCAGCGGAGACCAGGCCCTTCACCTCTGGATAACAAACCCCAAAACCTCATTTTACTGCCTCGTTGTCTAATTCTCCTTAAAGTTTATGGCAATATTCCCAACGCTGCTACTGTGCTATTGGTGGGGAAAAGTCTGCACGTGGTCTTTTAACTCTGCGATGAAATTTCTGTGTATGAGGCCTCTCCAGGTGATGTCCTGCTAAAGAGCTTGCAGGAGCCAAGGCCTTTCCTGGAGCTCCACAGTCACTCTGTTGCCACACTGGTACCTGTGTGCAGTGTCACAGATGCAGGAGTGTGTTATATTCAGAAAGATAAATACGGCCTCTGAAGATGGGAATTGCTCGCCCTTGGTGCAGGGATGCAGAACACAAAGGGGGTCCCTGCTGCTCCTGGTGCCTGAGTATGTGTTTTCCCACTCTGTTTCAATTGGAGTCACAGAAATACTTGTTTTTGGGGAACAAACGTAGGTGATGCCCTCACCTGGTTCCTGCTGGGTGCTTGGCCACGTCTGGTACCAACACCGTTACCATCAATAAGAAACCCTGCACTTGCTGCTGGAGCTCAAATGGGGTGGTTTGACCCCAAATGGAAGTGTCAAAGTAAAGAGAACACAGGGACTGCCTCTGCTTTGGGCATCCTGGAGACCATGCTACAAATCTCAACACATTTGCTGTCACATGTGGTTCATGCAGGCTGTCACAAACCAGTAAGCTACTGGTTTTATTGGTTTACAGGTGTAGCTGAACTGTAGCTACTCTAACACCAGGGGAATTTTGCCTAATTATCAGGCTGGACTTAATCCTTTCTGTGCCAAGGTATTAGAGTAGGATCATAAAACATTCACTAATGGAAATATATCTAAAAAATCTGTCTAAAACAGCCTGTTTGGCCTGTTTTAATAAACTTCTAACTGTATTAACTACACTTATTACTTCAATTTTCAACCTTACTTCAAAGTTTTAAGATTGAAATGAAAGAAAATGCAATTTCAGGGTAATTTTGCTTCATTAGTGTAAATGCACTGCCTGTAATTCCTACCAATATTAAACTCATTATGCTGAATAACGTGTGATACCAAGATAAAAAGGAATTTAAGAATGT